TGACCTCCTGGGGTGCCAAGGAACAAACTAAGCATTCCTCTGCCTGTCTGGCAGATGTATTTCAAAAATAGCTACTGGATCAGGCCTCACAGAAAACACAGTGAGGAGGAAGTGATTTTTGTCCAGTAGCTAGGCTAGAGCATCTACCTGGGATGGAGGAGATCCAGTTTCAAGCCTTTCTCTGCCTGATTAGGAGAAACCACGTGGACCCAGATAACCCAAAAGTACCAGGGCTAAATAATTTGGCTTTTAGGCACTATAATAACACAAATAAATAATAATAATAAAATAACAAGACTGAGGTTCAGCACTATAGTGCATAACTTTTAGTTGTCCTTCCAGCTACTGGAATTGCTGACTCCAACTTAGAGGCTCAACTACTCTGTACAAGGCACAGGGAAGAGCGGGGCTTCTAAAGATACATGTGAAAAGCACAATCCAGTGCCACGCAGAGACATCTGAGTTAGTCCTGAACCAGCTCTGCCTGGGTTACCAGAGCCAGGCTGCTGCTTCTGGTACAAAGCTAGCTTGTTTAGAGCTAGCTCAGGTATACTACCACACAACACCAGGGTACTGTACATTATGTTCTAAACATGGGATTTGCAGAAGACACACAATGAGCAGGACAAGAGGAAATAAGGAGATGTTGTAATTTGAAGCCTTTCCACTTAAAAGGGAGGGGCATGCCTACCTCCTTTCAGAGTTCACAGCCAGGAACCCCATTTGGGAGTGAGGCATCTAAAGCAGGTCAGCCCATTCTGACAATCAGGAAGAAAGACTCCCCTACCATCTGAACCAGTATCTCAGTGGTTAAGTACTCTCCTGTTCCTCCACTACCTGAGGGGCCTTGAATCCACATGTCTTACTTCCTCATAGTGTCCACAAAGCTATAAAATAACCTGGGGTGGGGCTTTCTCAGGTTGTCTTGTAAAAACAGTACTGTTTTATATAAAATAATTAAATATTCCTTGGATCAAGGACCAGAATCCATGTCTCCACCTCCCAACCCCTGGATGAATGCGCTAAGCACCTGGCTGGAGAAGCACACTCAGCCTCTTGCTTTCTGGTTCAGTAAATATACAATGCACTTGGCATCCTGCAAGGTCTGGCTCCACACTATACTGACATGCATATTTTAATGCTCCAACCCTCGCTGCCATAAAAGCAACTGTCCTTTCATTATTCAGGGATCAAAACATTGTGCATGTGCTATATCCGTCAGTCTGTTATGTAGTGCATCAGTCTGTAGAAAAACCCCTGCTGTTGAACAGTAACATTTGGGTCACTGAATTAGTCTCACTGTCCCTCTTATATATAATAGAAGAAAAGAAGGCAATTATTTTTAGAAAATGAAAGGAGGGGAAACAGTGACTAAGCAGGACTATGAGTCTGTCAAAAGCCACTCTGTGGTGACAATGCATGTACACGTGCCATGCATCTGTATGGGGTCATTGGCTGATTAGACAGCAGCTGTTCAAGGTAGCTTGTTCCTACCTCAATAGCTCTTATTAGGGTAACGTTAACTCTGCCCGGTGTATCACCAAATCTCTCTTTGTTGTTTCTTCCCCATTTGAGGGAGAAGTAGCTGAGAGCAGTTCGGGGGAGGGAACTGTAGTGTGGGCATGCTGTCTGGGTCTCCTGTGTTCCATGATAGGTTCAGGGAAAAAATCAGAAAATAAGAGATATGATTTCCTTCTGTTTTAATCAGCTGCAAATTTGACTAGAATTGGCAATTAACTGTTCATGCATGTTCTAAGGTGCTTCTCTACTCTCATCCTCAGCAGGAAAGACTGTTTATAAAGGTTTATAGGTTTTGTTTTTTCCCTGTTTATCAGCCTGCCAAAGTACAACTATACCGGTAGTATATTCACTCCAAAGTTAGAGGGCTAAGGTTATATGACAACTACTATTTTCTCATCATGAAAAAGCTTCAGGCCTGTGACATCTCCCAGCAATGCCCAGCTCTAGGACTGGTGTGGCTCTGTTCATATAAATGCCATAGGGTTACCTTGAACCTTACTGTCATGCTCATCCTGGAGTACTGCAATGGCAATGGTATGGCTATTTTCCACCTCTAACACTGAGGCTTCATGAGTGGCTGTAATATCTTCTACCTGTTCAAATGACAACAAATGATGTTATGGATACAAAAATATAAGTGCTATGGAGAACTCATACGAGAAACTATCAGAAAGCTTCAGTGAGCTAGAAAATTTCAGATGACATGCATAAAGTGCAGCCATTCTTAAACATTATTAACTTCAATGATTCATTATAGAAAGTGTACTGTGATTCCCTGAATGAAGGCATGTGGGCACTACTGCCTGTTCTGCTGCTCCTAGAACTTAGTGGTTATAATAATGATGCGAAGAAAAGAACAGGTTGAAAACATCTTAGATGACAAGGCTGTTTACAGGATGGTCAGAAATCACAGCATTCCACTAACTGATATGTTTTTAATAAACCAGAATTTTCCCTACAATCAAACAAAATCACATTTTCAAGACGTGCTAGGTTTACTGACCTGGAGTATTCTACTATAATTATTTTTATTATTAATCCTTTGAATTAACTTCAGAGGAAAAGGCCAAAGCATCATTCATATTTCTAAATATTTATTTATAGAAAGGCTAAATATATGACCTAGAGACATATATAATTATTTGCAATCAGTCACTTTAAGTGAGAAATAATTTTTTATACAGTAATCATTACACATTCCTACTTCCAACTAGAATGCTCAGATGTTTATTAACCTAATCCGAATAAGTCAATGAGACAGTTTATGGGACAGCTGGTCAGTGTATATGCTCAAGCAGTTTCAAATTAGTGCTGGAGTAATTAAGAAATGACAGTAACTCCAGTCAGCATCCCTCCCTGCTCTCAAACTGACCACTGAAAGCGTTCCTATGGAGGAACAGCTACTGCACAAACAGAACACACAGGTATGCAAATGGAAAAAAGAAAGCTGCACGATATACCTAACAGGAAACCTTTCAATGGCCTATGCTCACAAAACACACCTGTTATTGCTGTATCAGAAAAGTGAATCATTTGTTCAATCACATCTTTCAGCATATGTCATGACAATAAGACAAAGCAAGATTGCACATTTTTTCCTGATATATCCATAAAACCAAGGGGAGAGAATATAAAGAGAACAGGTCATTTGTGGTATTAGGCCAATTCAGTCATTCAATAGGCAAGGACATGGATACATTAAAAATGGTTTGAATTGTAGCTTATTCTTTAGTTCACTGGTGGATCTCACATTTATTTGTTTTGTATATGATATTGGCAAAAATGACACACACATACACAAGACCAAAGAGAATATTGCTTTATTGTCGAATCTTTTCTTAGCACTAGAGGTAAGCATAATCTAGAATATGATATAGCTGTGTTTTGAAACAATTAGTGCAAAATAGCACTTATAAGAAATCTCCCAGTCAAATGCTGTGCAACCTCACCTATATATTTCCAACAACAAACAGTTATCTTCCCACTCAGAAAACATTAAATATCACAATAAGATTGCTTCTTGTGACAGGAGTAATCATGCAATTACCCGGCACATGGAACTCAGGAGTCACTTCTACCTTTTTCTCTCCTCCTTTACAATTTAGTGCCTTTAATGTTCTTGAAAGCTGTTAAACTGACAACTGTGAAAATTAAGACTCTGGGAAGACCTGAACTCTAGACATATGATGAATTTATGCAACATAAAGAGCAACCTTCCTTTATGTTTGTCAAAATAAGAAATGGACAGACATCATATAGCCCTACTCATTTGATATTAGTGTAAATTATCCCTGGAAAAATCAGCAGTAAAAATACACAGGTTTAAATTACATTGTAGTTGTTAAATGTCCATAGCTTATCTCAGGGTAGCTGTTTGCACCTGTCCCCCTGCTACTAGTCATGAGGTACTTTACTAGGAACTTCTGCATGTGGCTAAACCAGGGAAGCTGGTCTTTCCACTCTAGACCCCAGACTAATTGCTATCAGTGAATGAAACCAATGTAAGCTATGCCAGTGGAATAGTGTTGTCTATGCTTATTTATGGCATAGACACACCATAGACCATATCTCTGGAGAGATAAGCCTCTCCAGATGGTTGTAGCCTGGAGCTGGAGGAACACCTCTTTTATTAAACTCCCTATTCATTAAAACCTTGGTCTATCATGGTACCAATTGAAATGATGGTTTCAGTTGTTGTAGACAACTGTTCTAGAGGAAATGGACTAGGACCATTAGCTCATGTGATGCAGACTGTTGAGAAACTATTAGTGGGAATGAGGTCTGGCTTTCATTACCCAGTGATATAATGGGGAAAAGCTCTGTATCTTATTTCCAGTTTCCTGGGCCTTTTGATATCCTTTGGAAGAGTTTCTGATTACCATACATAAAGGACTACATAAGTCATTTGCTCTTCTGGGCTTTGAGAATTATAATGATCTTGTTTTCTAATCCTACATGTTCTCTCATATTATTCTGTCATATGGAGTATTAAACAATCTTATTTTTATAGTGAAATAGCTGTTAACTGTGAAAGCACTTCATTTGCACAGCTGCTTTATCTACAATTAATATTAAATTATAGAAGAAGAGTCACAGTTTTTCAGAATCAATATTGCTTCACTTTATTAAACTATTCAAAATGTCTATCTTTGCTCACAGAACAGGTGCCAAATTTCCAATAAAATTAGAAAAGGGTTGCACTTACACTGAAAAATGTGCATTTAGCTTGGAATTTGAAATAATACAAAATCATCTTAACAATAATGTGAAAGAAACTGCCATGGTTAAGCCCTGTTAATAATGAAAAGTGGGACTCTGTTGTTGAACCACCGTATAAGTCTGAGTGAGAAGTGAACTTGTCTCATCAAGCTGGTAATGACATGTGAATGTCACCAACTCCATCCTGAAGATATATCCTGCTGGTGTGTGTGTCTTTCTAAGCACTACCAGGGTTTTTACTTCACTCTTGCTTAAATATTTTTCATGTCTTAATTGTTTTCTTTATGAACCACACACTACTACTACGATAATATAAAGTTTCTAAAAGCTAGAAGTGGTCAACTTCGTCTTCTGTCTTTTGAGCAAGTTATTCACAGAATCCTAGAAAATTAGGGCTGGAAGCAGCCTCAGGAGGTCATCTAGTCCAACCCCCTGCCCAAAGTAGGACCAGCCCCAACTAGATCATTCCAGCCAATGACTCAGATAAGCCTTTCAGGTGGGCCAGGTCTAAGGGACTGGCGTGCAGATGGGCCGGGCTTGGAATTATCATTGGTGAAGGACGTGGTAGGTAATTTAGAATAGGCTTTAAGGGAAGCAATATGAGCGTCTTACACATGAAAGACTATACGGAGGCCAGCCCTTGTTAGGCTGGACCAAAGGGGTGCTAACACCCTGGGGTGTGGGGAGAGAAAGCACCAGTAAGAATGGCTCCTCAACTGAACTGAGAGCTTATAACTCAAACAATAAGATGTGGCAGACAAGAACATGGTTCACTGGACGGTTGGGGAAGTGAGCTGTGCTTCTCTCGACAGCGTGCAATAATGTGCCCTGAGGGCCACAGTGCAGGAGTCATCGCTGGCATGCTGTAGAGTTTTTTATAGGGTGCTTTGTGATTGCTGTGTGAGAGGGCCCAGAGCAGATGTTTCTGTAGATTGTTTTGGGCAAGTGGAGGAAAGTAGGAAAAACACAATGACTTGAGAGGCCCCTTCCATATTCACTTTGTCTCTGGTTCCCCTTATTCTTCCAGTTTGGCCTTCACCTTGCAACTTTTCACAGCAGGTGGTCTGCCATCTTTTTATCTAGCTTTGCTCTTTATGAAATGGATTTACCTCACATGACAGTTGTAAGGCTTATTGAAGTAATATGGAGAAGAGGCTCAAACTGGAGAAGGCCAGTGAGTTGTAGAATAATGTGTATGAGTGTGAGGTCCAGGGAGAAGATGGGAAACTTTTGGAACCCTGCAATTCATCTCTACGCTGGATTTATTTTTTAAATCCTCTAACTTACTGTTTTAGAAACATACTGAACTGACACTCTGGAGAGTAATTCATATTTCTACAGAGCACATTGAGAGCCTTAGGTGGAATAAAAGCAAAGTATTCCCCTTTCTGCAGTGGTTAACATTGGTGACCTGAATCTATTTGTGGTGAGATGGATTTTTCTGACCCACTACATAGAAAGAGTCCAGAATATCCCTATTCTCAAACACCTCAAGGCCTCCAACAAGTGTAATTTTGTGTTTATCACAGACAATGATTACTGGATAATGAAGCAGAGAAGAAAGTAAATGTGGTTTCCTTTGTTATGAGACAGACCAAAAGAATGTGCGATGTGATTCATTTCCAGAGTAGGCATGTGGGTACAGAAATATATTCAGCTGCCTATTTTTAAAAGGATTTTTTATTTCTGCTATTGCAGCTTATGAACGTGGTGAAATTCATCTCTGGAGAAGAAGAACCCAGTGCAAAAAACACACATTGCTAAAATGTAACGTAAGATATTAAACTGAGGGAGCTCAGTACCCTACAGGATTGGGCCACGAGCATTTATATCCAGACTAGGCAGAGAAAATGAAAATATGCTGTGGAATCGTAAATTCACTCCTGATAGAGGTACTGGCCAATGAGTCCTGCCCACAGGAAGATAAAGTCCAGAGTGGCTTGGGCAACCCCAGTTCCATTTTGTGACACTTTATGAGGTTTCCAAATTTATGTCCCACTTGTGAATAGAATAAAAACCTTCTGAATGCTGTTGCTTTTTAGATCATAAAATCCATGTTTTCAGTGTGGGGCTCCCTCTTGCTGACTGGAGAAATGACTACAAAACTCTGGGCCTCAGAAGCCTTCTTGTTGAATGTTTTGTGGAATGTGTTGTGAATGTTTCTCATTTAATTGGAGAAATTCTGGCTCCAATTAAATGAGATATTTTGATGAAAATATATTTTTGTCTGCAATTTTCTATAACAATCCATGCAAAACCCTCTATGAATATAATACCCTAGGCTTCCCTGATAATTGTCCCTTCTGGCAGAAAGATACAGGGAGAGAAGAAAAGGATAGAGATTCAGGGTCCAAACCATATGGATCTTTAAGATGAATAAAGACAGCAACGTATGACTTCATAGGGGCTGTTGGGGGTCTCCTGGCTCTTAAACTACTCCTGCTATCCTAACAGCAGGCACAACATAGGGAGCTAAAAAGGGCCCAAGGAACAGTGCATATACTCAGATTTCCAGTTGGACATCCTTCCAGTCTAAGAGCAGTGACAGAGAGCAACCTCTCCATAACTCTAAGCTTGCTCTTCAACACTCCAGCATCACATCATAAACAACTGGTGTAAAGTAGTGCTGTGTCTGGATACAGGGGGAGCATGCAGTACAGCATAAAAGCAGGAGAAAAGGGAAAATGGGGAAGCTCCACTAAGAACCCTGTAAAGGATCCCAGAATGTAAAAAGGGGAATGTCTGAATAGTGAAATTTCTTCAGAAAGAGTAACTGCTAGACCACCTAGGACCACTGGAACTGGCAGAAGTAGGGGAAGGAAAAAGAAGCAACTATTTGTGATACTGGAAGACTTAAACTGAAAATAGGCTGATGATCATGCTTTTAAAATAGCAGAGCGAGAGACTCTGAATGTCTTTTGTGTTCAAGCGGGTGGGAGAAGCCTGGAGAATTAGGGCCTGGAACAAAGAGGAGTGTTTGGCACAGCCTTACCTTTATTGCATGAATGGGCATTAGTGTTGCTGATTGACCTGCAGTGGCGTAACAGAGTTGGCACCTGGGGCAAACCCTGTGGGAAGGTAGAGGTAGGAGGGTGGCGCATGGCTCCAAGAATGGGGAGACCTGGGTTCCAAGAGCTGTGAGGGGGATGCCAAGTTTCAAGAGTGGGGCTGAGGGGGCAGCAGCCTTACCCATGATGGGACTCCTACACAGTCCCAGCTGAGCTGCTGCTGTCTTCATGAATGCTCTACCTGTCCTGGCTGTTGCTCTTAAAGCAGCAGCAGCAGCAGGGAATGGTTTTGGAGTTCCTGGCATGGCACCGCTGCCAGGGCCTGGCTCCGTAGGTTCAGGGGTGATTCTGATCCCCTTCTAACTTGACACCCAGGGCAGGTGTCCCTCTTGCCCACCCCTAGTTATGCTACTGTCGACCTATAACAAACTGGGATCTGAGAAAGGTAGATAACAGTCAAATCCCAGTGCAACCTGTCTGACCAAAGTCAGCTTATCCTATAACCAAACAGATCGAACTGAGCAGAATCAAAGCAGCGTCCATCTCAACAGCCCATCAAGCTCCCTGGAAATAACTGGAAACACTGAAAGAACTATCTAAAGAAAAAATATGACAAAACCCTTAAATCCCCCAGCCATAAAAACCTGCCCTACATTACTGAAGAATCACTAATACCTGTCAGTATGCAGACATGGCAGAGCAGACAACCTTAACAAGCTGAAAGGCCTCACAACACAAAAGTGGAAAAGAAATAGCTTAGCATAGATTTTAACAGGTGAAAGAAAGAAGATAAAGAAACATTCTAGCTTCAGACACAAAGACCTTTTGAAAGAGACTTTTCCAACACCTATCACATATTGGAAAATCACATTCAGCCAAAAGAAGTTAAACTGCATGGGGTAAAACAGTCCAGACGTGAACACCTTTCTGTCACTGTTGGAAGAATTTGAAATTAACCACGACAACAAAAGGATGCAGCAATTCAGAAAGGTTATAACCCAGAGAAGGCATTTCTAACACCTCTAAGCACTATCAAAATCTTTTACAGGAGACAGAAAGAAAGATAACATCCTTAATGAAGACATTTAGTAGAATGAACCTGCCATCAGAGGTTGTTGGTTCTTCAACTGTGGAGGAAAAAAACAACATATAATACAACTTCGGGCCCCGTGGATTTTTCCAAGCAAATATCTACCTTTTGTCAACATATCCTTTTTTCATAGTACAACTACAGTGGAGTGTTACAGCTGTCTGGTGGAGCAACCCTTTGGGTGTTAGCCTCAGTTTTGCATTTTCCACTGTTTTCTTTCTCTGTGTGCCAGTTCAGTGTCAGGTCACAGCATGGTACAGCAGCCCAGCTCAAGGGCAGCCCTCTTTAGATCCTTCGTAAGGAACTAAATGCTGAAAAGAAAATCTGCTTCCTCCTACTTTGTACTTCTGTCCTCATCCCAGGGTCTCTAAGTGATTTACATTATATTAGGCACAGAAGGTAAATACATTGGGTATTTTCACATGTGCTCCGGGAGGCATAGTTGCTAATTAAAAGTGCCTGAGTCGCAGCGGATGGGCACTGAACTAAATCTCATCAAACGAGCTTTAATTAAAACGCTCTGCCACCACTTTTCAGCGTGGGGATGCTGATACATGTGACAGTAGTCTGCTGAAGCATGTGATGCTAGACTCTGCTGGAGCGCATCTGCTGGAGTGTGTGACATTGGGCAATTCACTTCACTGTTCTTTTTTTAATTGTATCATTTGAAATAAAAATGGGCAAAATTCTTCCAGGTAGTATGTTGCTCCGTATGTAGCATCATCTGAGTAAACAGGGATAAGCTACCATTTGCTGGATGTAAGCAGTGGGGACAGGACAGGACAGGACTGAGCCCAGTCTTTATACAGGGTATTTCACAGGAGAGCCATTCATAAAGCATTTTATAATGTGGGACCTCAAGGTCGTGTTGTATAACTCTGAAGTATGAACTTTTCTTTAGATAAGGGAGCTAACAAACCTAGATCTATTCATTTGTGACTTGTGACTCATGTTACAGCTTGTGACTCATATCATCATACTGGAGAAGGTCAATACAGTCAGCTGTCCTGTCACCTACACTTAATTTAAACTGATTTAGCCTCCTCATGTGAACAATTTATGGCTGACCTGTTCCTGGTGCTGACACTTGATTCTCATGAGTTGAAGCTTGTTTTCTTCTTGTAGATGTTCTAGTTCACTGCTGTATTGTAACTGCAGCCTGTCCTCAAGGGCTTGCAGCTCTTCTTGCTGTTGCCAGTGAAGCTTCCTCACCTCATCCTCAAATCGCTTCTCCAGCTCCTCTTTCTCTTTTTGTAATTTTTCACACCGTGCTGTGTTGAGGGCTGTTGAGACAAAACAGGACAATCAACCACACCTTACCCTGTAAGCTCGGGGAGGCAGGCCTTGTCTCTTTTTTGACAGTGCCTAGTACAGTGGGTTCTTGGTTTATGCCAGGGTTTCCCAGGCACTACTGTAATATTGAATAGGAGACTGGATTTCCTCTACTGCCTGTTGAGACACACATGCAGTTCCCTGTCAAACTGATTCGGCCTACAGGAGAAATTGGGACATGGAAAGAAACTAAATGGCATAAATCTGGTTCAGAAATAAATTACCTATAGAGGAGAAGATCATTAGTTTAAAGCTGCTTTTATATTACCAGGTTTGTGTGCTTCTTGAGACTAAGGAAAATACATGAAAGGGCCAAATAGAAGGCAATAACTGTTAATGGGACTTCCATGCTCATCACAATTATTCTTCTATGTTAACAGAAGTAAGCAGGTGCAGAAGTGATAGAGAACTCTACAAAGTTGCATCAGCTTATTTCCAGGAATTTGACTCTAAGCCTATGGATACTGAATGTAACAAAGCAAATAAAGAGAGAGGGTTTTTAATTGTACTACGAATTTCCTTTCCCTAAGAACCCTGCCATAGGCATAGCTGGTTTGGAAGAAGCATCAGTTTCTGAGTAGCATGGCTGTACTGGTCATCCATGCCGCCGCCTTCTTTCAAGTAACAATCACAAGATTGCTGACCTGCCTGATGGTGTAAATCTGGGCAGTGGATGCTGTGGCATCTCTGGGTGAACAAAGTTAATGCTGTTTCATGAATCCACTTGCTTTATAATTCCCATATCACATTTTTGTGATTTCAAGGTAAGTATTTTTATTGCTGTTTGTGCTTGTGTCTTGTCACTCAGTTCATCAGATCTCATTTTTCAGACTGAAGTGGCCAGGATAGCTCATGTAGAAACAACTCGCACAGATTTAAACTAGCTAGCTAGTATTGATGGCACAATAGAGGTAGCAGCACAGAGCTCAGGGAAGGCTAACTACTGAAGTAACTCATTCTTCGCTGGGTGCTGCAGCCTGCACTGAACTCCATGTTGCTGTGTTTGTACAGCTAGTTTAAAGCTAGCTCAGGTATTTCTCCAGGACCTGCAGCTCCTGAAATCTAAATACTCCCTTAGGTACTGCCAATTTTCTGCAAGTATTTTCCATTTTTACTGAGGCACTTCAAAATGGCTTTGAACACAGATTATCCAGTCAGAAACAAGGTATCTTTTGGGAGTTGGAAATGTGTTGGGATAAAGTAAGAATGGTCCTAGACTCTGCTTAATTCCCCGGCTAGTCTTGAAACTTAAACCCAGTTAACTTTTTTTAAATCTTGTTTTCCTTTTCCATGAACTTCTGCAGCTCTTGCTTTCAGCTGGCAATCCTAAATGCTGAGATACTGAAAAAAGTCTGTCTAGAACAAAAAGGTACTGAACCTCTCATGAAAAATCCCATTTGCAATACATCCAACCCACCATGAGATAGGTACCCATGTCATTTATATATTCTAGAAATCCCTTTATGATTCTGTGATTCTCTATCATTTCCGCCTGCAGAAGAAACATAGGAATGGCAAACTGATCCAGGAAACTGTGTTTGCACTCCCAGGGCACATCCAGATGAGTGTGGATGTGTGGTATGCAGTGCCACAAATCCATTTGCAGTGTTGCACACACAGGTATCCCCCATGCTTCTAATCAGCAGTGCAGGGGCAGGGGTTGACCCTGGGAAATCCCAGGGTCAAGTTAACCCACGCCTTAAAAAAGTGGGGTGGAGTACATGGCAGCAGTGTGCACCGCCAGAAACCAGAGTCTGGGCAGCTGGAGCCACACTCTTTCCCCACTCCTCCTGGCTCCTGGCATGCTGGAGGAGCCAGGGACAACTAAAGGAGTGGAGATGCTCTGGCCCAGCAGCCAGGGCCTTTCTCAGGAGTAGCAAGCCTCTGTGTCTGCTGACACACGCTCCTCTCAAATGTGCCACACTGCTTTTGTCACACTGTTTTTTCCTACCAAGATTTCCTGGTAGCAAAATTTGTTTTAACATTCTGGGAGTGTGTTTTGTGGCACTGCAAAGAGGTTTGTGGCACCACAAACCACACATGCCTGCACATCTGGATGTAGCCACAGAATCCAGAGGCCCTATTTAGCTGGTGGGATAGGAACTGCCAAAGATCAGGCCCTAGGAAGATGTGGTCCAGTTTCCTGAGGTCCACAGAAGACTTTTGATTGACTTAAGTAGGGTCCAGTAAGGTGTAATAAGATTCCAGCAGCTTGGAACATCTGCACAGAAGACCTGTCCCTGTTAACTATGCTTCAGGCTTGAATCTTCATGCCTGCCTTCTGTCTTTGTACGCTAATGCCCTCTTTTGTTGGGGGATGACAATATGGAGTAGAACATGCACATATTAATGATTTCAAGGTCATCATATGTTCTACAAGAATTAACTGGCAGAGTTCCCAAGGGAATGATACCCTGCAAAGAAGCTGGCTCCCCATGCCACCACTTACTCTCAGCCAGGGCCATCTCAAAAGCCAGTCCCTTAACCCTAGGTTGTTGGGGGTTTTTTTACAGCTGACATTTCACAGGACTGGAGAGAGTGGGTGGATGCTGCTATCCGGGGTCTATTCCCTTTCCTATGACAGCTTTTAGACCACTGAAATAGAGTTCCTGCTCTTTCCAGAACCTCAGTAACACTATAGGTAGAGGGAAGATGGAACTGACCAAATTAAGCATGTAAAATCAAAGTATCCAGCAGATAAAGTCCTACCACATATCGGGCATGTCTACATGTGATGCCATGTTGCCATAGTGATGCACTAAAGCAACGTAGTGACCACATGCATTTACATGTGACCAACAGCTATTTTGTTGTAGAAGTGCGCTCCCTCACGATAGCACACTGCTACAGTGATGTAGTGACTAAAAATAATGGTGTACCCAGTGTATGCTGCAGTATGGGCTGCTACTATGCTGTGCTTTAGTACTTCCAAAAGGGCAGTAGCAATGTCACTGTACAGGCACATGTAGATGTGCCCATCATGTACCTAACGTAGAACATCAGCAATTTATATATTTTTTCTCTTGGGGGATTTGTATTATAACTTTAAATGCAGTCTCATTTGTTGAGTGGTTGTATTCTGTGACATTCCATATCAGTTTTCCATTGTTATATAAAACTATGGAAGAGCAGAAATACAAAGAGATCAAGCTTCAGGCTCTGGATTCATTATAATTGAAACCAACCCAGGCTTTAAATTGGACCTGCAATGAAACATATCTTTCAACAGATTCTCTAATAAGATTACACAACACAGAGGACATGGCAAAAAATATGTGTGTTTTGAACTAGAGGAAACTAATTCTTTAAAAAAACACCCCACACATAATACAAAAACCCAACAAACCCCCTACATACAAAGCAAGTGAAGAGGTCTGAATAGAGAGCTTGCAAATTTTGCTAATGAGCCTGGATTTTGGTAATAGACACTGGGTGAGTCTACATGTGCAATTAATGTGCAGTAAGGTTACTGCGTGCTAATATAAGGTGCAGTAAACTGTGCCTGGGAGTATGTTTACATGTGTGCCCTGATGGGCGCAGATTTGCTTCTAACAGTAGCACACGGAGTCACTGCTCATGTGACACTAAGCTCTTATTTTTTTAAGCAGAAGAAAATTGCTACGCAACATTTTCTAAATGCTTCGCCAATGTGAATTAAATGCCAGCAAGATCAGAACTTAGTGAAAGATGCTATAGAAAAAAAGATATAATGTGCCAAATTCTCAGACGGAGGAAATCAGTACACTAATGTTGATTTACACTAGCTGAGAGTGTAATTTATATATTAGAAGCATTACATAAATACAGTAAGATACAGCTTAGGTTAGACAAGCAATTCATTCAATACAACAGGTAAGATAGTAACCATGAATATTTTAATATATAGAAGCTTCGTTTTGCCCTTTAGAAGACCCTTACCTATGAACTTTAAAATACCATGTGATTCTTTTGTGTGCAATACCCAAAATTCAACCAAGAGGATCATTCTTTTCTTTCTAGACCTCTTTGGGAAGCTCTGACTATATTAAGTGTTATCAGAGCTAAACTTCTTCCAAATATAATGCAGATTTAACACCTATATAAGTCTCTTGGTGATTCTACATTCATCTGCTTCCCTACTGTGGCATCTTGGCTTTTTAGGTTATGAAATGAATTCCTGGTCATCATTAAATGGAAGGAATTTGACCCAACAGTATTTGAGGTTCATCTGTAATTGATCTGACAGAAAGGGTGATCTGTGTAGTGACTTAGCAAGGTGTTCTTTTCCTGTGCTGAGGAGAGGTCACCTTTCTTCTCTTGTGCCTCTCTGTAAGGTGCACACACAATGCTTTTGAGGAAATCAGGGGACTGGTCCCTGCTAGAGGAAGGGCTAAATAGCCAGGAGAAACTGGGTGCATCTATACATGCAATGGCACAGTTTGTGCTGGGAGTCTATTGCTCCTGGGCTCCATATTTGCACTTGCGCCCAGGACTGCAGCATGTTGAGCTGGGGCCAAGCAGCCCCAGTTTACAGGACACTGGGAATCAGTCTGCCAGCCTGGGGATGCTCTGACCTGGTTCAACTTGCTGTGGAGGGGCTGACTGGGGCATGAGGGTGCTACAGTGTAGAGCTAGCTGGAGTTAATTAGTTTGCTCCGGCCTAATAGCACCGCACGTGTACATGGTGATATTTTCTTGTGGAGCTAATTAGTAAATGTCTCATGCAGATGCACCCACAGAATAGAGGACAGGGTGGGACCACTGGATGATTTAGTCTAGGGAGGAGAAGACTAAGGGGAGAGTCAACAACAGCCTCCAAATACAAAAAGCATTGTTACAAAGAGAATAATGATTTTAGTGACAGGATGAGAAGTAATGGGCTTACACTGCAGCAGGGGAGATTTAGATGAGATATTAGGAAGAGTTTTTTTAGTTAGGGTGGCTAAGCACTGGAACTGATGACTTTGGAGAA